GACTTAGCAGAAATTAAATTTGCATTAGTCTCAATAAATTAAATTCACAGAGCCCTGCTCCAGCACAGTGCCAAAGCGCGTATGGCTTGCCGGGGCATTAGCAGCGTGGCTAATGAGCGTCAGTGGGGCTGCGAGTCATCTCCCGCATCCTTCCCCAGCCGCCTGGGAGCGGGAGGACCATTTCCACAGGGTGGCAGTGTGCCCCTGTGGGAGTGAGATCCTGAGCACCCGCTGGTGAACAGCGCAGACCCGTGGGGAAGCCAGTGAGTGGGCTTTTCTGCCTCTCCAGTCTTTTTGTGTGCCCCTCGGGTCTCTGCTGCACCCCTGTACTAAGTTCTGCAACTCTGCCGAGCCCTGGAGCAAAGCTGAGCCGTGATGGAGGGGAAAGAAGATGGGGGAGGTTCTGGCAAGGGCTTACATCTTTGCAGGTTGTGTTCACCTGGGCTTGGGAAGCTCCCTGCAGCATTTACCGTGGACCCAATTCACAGGGTCTGGGGGTGCAAATACTGCTTGGGCTGCCCAGGACAGTCAGCTGCCAGGCGGGAGTCAAACATTGTCTCCAGTCAATCCCATCAACCTTAGTGCTACTGAGCACAGAGTGCGGCCCTAAGTGTTTGTTTTGTCTGGATGGGAAAATAGCCCTTCAAGGGGCAGACATCAATGTGTGAGGAGGGACACTTCTATCTTCTGTGTGATCAGCCTCAGAAAACTTCTGACATGAGATGTGATTTCTCCTTTCTCTCCACTCCCATGAGGGAGACATCTTTTTGCTTTATTAAGTTTTTTCCCCGACAGCAAGGATGTTTTGGTAAACACCGTGTGGCCTTCAGGACATGATTCTCAGTGGGTCACTGATAGTGCTTTGAGAACAGAGATTTTACTATGGCTAGAGATGGAAATGAGAAATGCTAATATGACCTTGTTCAGCTTCTGTCTTTCTGTCTGTTCATTAGCACTGAAAAAAGATTAGCTTTTGTAGCTCCATCTGCACAAAGATTCATCTCTGTTTGGTTTTTTTCTTCCTCATTCGTTTTGTCAGAGGTTGCTTTTAAAGTTAGACCCATAAGGACAAATACGCCAAACTGTGATTAAAATCATGGTTCTCCCCATAGGATCTGCTTGCAGTATTCATTTATTCAGTACTTTGCCAGGCAGGCAAATATATGTACCTTCCCCTTTTTTCCATCTTAGCTCTGGTACAGCCGTCTGTCACACATCCCATTAATCTGCCATCAGCTGCTACTAAAGACTAGACGTGGAGACAGTAGCATGATTTCCAGTTATGTATTGTCAGCGTATGCTGACCTGAGAGTGGTAGTTTATACTTACTGCAGGGCTCCCTGTATGCCTTCAAACCGGGGTAAATTCCATGTAAATAAGAACCAGCATCCCAAGCTGTGATTCTCTTCTCTGGTGTAAATCAGGAGCATCTATCGCTGTGGATCTGGCTGATGTAGAAGCTGTGTCAGGTCTGTTAAATCCAGGCAGACTGTTATTGAAAGTGAAATTTTTCAGAGAAATTTTTTTTCAAGAAAACTTTTTGAAACTCTTGTCCTTTAAGTCTGAGCTGTCACACTCTAAGCACACAAATAATTTTATATTGCATCAAGCTGTGATCAGGCAAGGTGATCCTGAATTTCAGCTTTCATCTTACGCATACTTGCGGCAAAGGTCCCTTTGTCCTGGTGAGTTGAAGCGTGAAAGGAGTGCTAAATACCAAGAGTTGTGACTGCCCCTGTTAGTGCAGCAGTGCTCTGCTGTGGGTGGACTCAGTGCTTGCTTCTAAGGCTGATGTCAAATCACACAGTTACTAGCATTAGAGGTGGGAACAAGTGACAGGTTTACCAGGATTGAGAGACCCAGGAATCCAGCTGCAATGCTCATCTCCTCAGAGTGGATGTACCTGACATCCTGGTACATATAGTTGCTGCAGATGCTGCTGTGGGTGGTGAGGGAAGCTGGAGGAGAGATGCAGCACCACCGCAAGTGAAAAAGAGCTGAACACATCAGAAACAGTAACTAAGTCCAACGGGTGACTTGTTAGTCTGAGAGAATCACAACCACACCATTGGTTGTTTATTCCTGTAGAAAGGGAGGCCATGGCTGCTGTCACCCTGCTTGAAAGGGAAACAAAATCAGTTCATGATTTCATGAAGAATCAATGTCAAGAACGTCATGACTACAGCGTAGGAGCAGTTTTTCTGCAAGCTAGTTCCTTCCTCTTGTGCTCACACTGGCTTTAATCTAGTGCACTGATACATCATCTTCACTGATGATACTCTGGGTTTGAATTATGTGACCATAGCCTTCTTCAAAGCTGGGCTTCAGAAGGTTGTCTGGATTGAGCAGTCGGTTGGCTTGGAAAGAGCCTAATTTTGGCCACGTAAACTTGCTTCATTTCCTGCAGGCAGTGCAGTGCCCAGGAATGAAGTGCTGGTACACTGCTGGCCAGCCTGTCTTTTTGTTGTCACCTTGTGGCAAGGTGTGTGAAACTCCATTCCAACAAGGTGGCAGTGACAGGGCCTTTCTTATGCAAGGAGAGAAAATGCCTGGCCCAGCCTGCAGAGATCCTGCAGCGAGTCATCTCTGAGGAAAATGGATCCCTGCTTGTGTTAGGCAGTGTATTGAGAAAGGTACTCTATCGTTAGAGTGTGCGCTGAGTACCACCTGCATAGTATTGTCCTGCATAAGTAAATGTCCTCTGGGCTGGCAGTGTCCAGGGCACCTCATTTATAGAGCCAAGGGCACACTCAACCTCTGATGTGGGCTGACTGGTGGCTGTGCTGCCCTATGACACGAACACTGGATGTGAGGGGGTTGTATCTGGCTGTGTGTCATCTGGTTGGAGGTTGTAGCTCTTTGCTGACCCATCGTGCTGACAGGGAGCTTCTTCATCACGCTGAAGGACTTGGGATGCTCTACAGGGACTTGGCCAGAGCCATCGCAGCAAGGGCTGCCGATGGAGATCAGACACCAGTGCTGAATAAAAGATATGTGTTTTCTCAAAGGCTGTTTTTTGGCTAGGCCTTATCTCCTGGAGAAGCCCTGTAATGAAGTGACCATATTAAGCGGAAGTTGCTGGTGCTGAACTGTTCTAAAGAACCAGTCCCCCTTAATTTTCTAGACGATCTGAATTCTTCATCAGGATTGCTTGGATATGCAATTTCCTATAGAAGCTGCAAGTTAGGGTTTATCTCATTTGGCTGTCAGTTCCCTGCACTTTAAGTAAGGATTTTTTTCCCCCACTGTATTTCTGCCTCCTGGTTGTGGTGGTAGTTTTTTGTTGGGTTGTGTTTTTTGGTTTTTGGGGTTTTTTTTTTTGGTTGTGGTTGGTGGTTGGTGTTTTTTTTTCCCCTTTAAAAACACTCCAAAGCAAACATTCAGTTTAAAGAGAATTACTGACATCTTGCTTCATCCATTCCAATCATTTCAGGCCTTTAGCAGAGAG